GGTGCCCACCAGGAGTGATTTCTGAGTCAGAAGTAAGCCCTGAGCATAGCTGGGAGTGACTAAAACTACCCACTCCCCCAAATCATAGCTTATTTTAAGTCTCATCTCAATTATTGTAAATATCTAAAACATGGCATATTCATCACTGCTTCAAAAGTAGATTATCTATTATGCCTACTACTAAGTCTTTTTAATGCATTCATTAAAAATTTTTAACTTTCTGGTAACTATTGCTTATATAATATTTTGGACTGTGAGTTTTTATTTCATGCATTAAAAAAATAGTTTCACGAGCTTCGGGGAACTGCCAGAGTAGCTCATGAATAAAGTAGATTAGGAAAGTCTTTGCTAGGTTTAGTTCCTCTTATTTCACAAAGACAGGCTAAAACACAGCCTTAAGTATCACTATTAAACACTACAAATTTCTTTTACAGTCATCTAGTTTATTCACCATATGAATTTTTAATTAGAGTATTATGATTGGTAACATTGAACTAAGTGATTGAAGATACAGGATTCTAAAAATAAAAGTATAGCATGTTACTTCTAACCTCAGTGATAGTTACATAGCACATGAATCTATCTTCTTTGCATAGTGCTTTTAAAAATCTTTTCCAAGTTCTGCCCAAGAATAACTTATTGCATGGACTGGAGGCATAGCACAATGGTTAAGGTGCTTGGCTTACATGTAGCCAATATGGATTCTATCACTAAAACCACATATGGTATCTAAGTACCTTCAGAAGTGATCCCTGTACACAGAGTCAGGAGGATTAAGCCATAGGAACAGTGGGGCGTGGCTCAAAAACAAAAAAAAAAAAAGAATTCATTGATATCATTAATAGCATTGCTAAATTGGTAGATCATATCAGTTTATAAAGTAAAGAAATTACTTTCCGGTAGCAAAAGATAGAATGAGAAATGGGCCAGCAATTTCCATTGTATTTCGTCGGAATTTAATTACTCATCAGTACTTGCTTGTAAAATGCCTACACTAGAATATCTGTATTTGTATATAAATTAGGGGTTAGTTTGTTAGAAAAAAAATTGTTTGGAAACATTTTGGGTAAAGGAAAAATAAGGGGAAATAGAGAATGATGTTGGGATTGGAAGAAAGTTGTCAATTGTGAACTTTTGGCAGATACTGTATAATTTTTTTATCCCAATCCTTAACGTAAACCAAGATAAACCTAACTTGTCTTCCATATCATTTTGTTTGTTTTAACATACTCCTCAAGAAATGATCCCCTGAATTTTTCTTCATGAGGTATCTAGACCAATGTTTCTTAACTTTTTCTAACTGTGGCCCCTCTTCCTACCTTGCTTTCTTCCTGTGCTCTTTTTGACCCATTGGAAGGCCCTCCAGTCTCAGACCATAGCCCTCTATTTAAGGATTTTTCTCCTGTGTCCACTTTGGAATATTCTGAGGAACAGAAGGGACCAAATGGCCCTTTGTTGAGAAACACTAATCTAGACTAAGAGTTTATTGTTTCATTAATTGGTACCCTGTTATAAATGAGAATCTTGAACTCCTCCCTAGATAGACCTACTGCATCAGAATCTGCACTTTAGCAAGATTCTCAACTCATTTGACTATTCACTGAAGTTTGAGAATCACTGATGTCTTAAAATTAGCATTCATAACATAAATGACTAAATTCCTATACCTTATTCTTCCATGACTGGAGCAATAGCACAGCGGGTAGGGCATTTGCCTTGCACAAGGCCAACCTGGGTTCAATTCCTTCGTCCCTCTTGGAGAACCTGGAAAGCTACCAAGAGTATCCTGCCCACATGGCAAAGCTTGGCAAACTACCCATGACATACTCAATATGCCAAACACAGTAACAACAAGTCTCACAATGGAGACGTTACTGGTGCCCGCTCAAGAAAATCAATGAACAACAGGAGGACAGTGCTACGGTGCAGTGCAGAGCTATTCTTTCATTGTTTAAGAAGTATTATTGCTATTGCTTTTACCTTCTTTAAAAGATATGAAGCCTTGAGGCCTGTACTAATAGACGTGCATTTACTAATTACTTTGACTAAAAATCTCATTAAATAAAACAAATGTTTTCATACTGGAGAGAACAGTGTTTATGAAAAATATAACCCCTGTAAAAGAGCATGCACTTTTGAAGATGTTTAGAGGGAGCAAGAACTCTCAACCATTGCACTTAGACAAATGATGAATGCCTAGCATGCCAGAAATAGCTGTTTTTCTTGCACTGGCTTTGGCATGTTCACACATGACTAAATTTCATTCAGAAAAAATCAAGCCTCTAGAATGGCACATCTGGTTTTATGAGAAACAAACAGATGTGTCATAGTTCACCCCCACCCTGACCACCTGTGGTTTGCCCATGACTCAATTTTCTTGTTTAAAGGGAGTTAACTGCTGGATCTTGAACAAATTCTAAATTAAGTACTTATTTTCTTCCTCTTCATATTTCTCTTCACCACTTATTGCTGTGGTAGAACCTTACAATTCAGAGAAATTTGAACTAGCTATAAACTCTACAGCATTTGCACTAAAAGTCGACAGGGAAATGGTCCTTGCTCTGATACCTAGATTGAGGTTCTAACATGAGTTCAGAGGACAAACTTAACCAACCAATTCAAACGTGTGAATTTTGTTTATAGTTTAAAACTCACTGGTTAAATGGTTAAATGATATTTTATTTGCTACTTATTTTTATTTGCTACTTATTTTTTAGTTGAGAGTAAGAATTATTATAATTCAAAAATTTGCTTTTGCTGCAAATTTTAGTCACTTAATCCTAAAGTCTCCGTGTTCATGGAATAATGCAGGCAGATTACAAACAGTAAAGGTTCACAAATTTCACTACATGCTATTAAAGTCATTCTGACCACTTCCTCCAAGTGCTCACAAGTAGCTAAAAGGAATAATTTGGGCTTGATTACGTTTTATTTCTCTTGCCATGCTCTGCTTTCCATTCCACAGAAAGTCGACAGGGAAATGGTCCAAACATAGGTAGGTGGATGGAAAAATACAAGTTACAAATAGTCCACATAAGAAATAATTATGTCTTGAACAGCCCTGAAAAACATAAAAAATATATTTTAATTTTTATTTACACAATTATTTAGGGTTGTCTTTGATGTATCCAAGTATACAGTTAACCTACAGTTGTCTTTATCCTACCATTGAGCTACTTGGTTCTCTCTTATTATTATTATTTTTTTATGTCTGTTTCTTGGCCATACCAACAGTTCTCAGGCCTTACTCCAGACTCTGTTCTCAGGAATAACTCCTGATGGGACTCAGAGCACCATATATCATGCTGGGGATTGAACCTGTGTCAGTCACGTGCAAGTTAAGTGCCATACCCACATTAATATCTCTTCAGCCTCAGTTTTCTTTTTGTAGAATATTTATTTGTTTCTTCATAAAACATTTCACTTGTCTTTTTATAATCAAAAAAGAAAGTTAGTGTGCCTTTTAAGGGACATAATTGCCTTTCAAGAGTCTAGTTGTAATGAATGTCGTAGCTTTATGAAAAAGAAGCAAAAGTGCAAGGACCAGGAATCTTCAGAGGTAGACATCAAGTGAGGATCTAAGTTCAATTTCCAGCATGGTAAAACAAACAAGTATAAAAAAAGGACTTAAAAAAAAACACATCAAATTTAATAATTTTGAATTGAAATACAAATAACATGAAATCAAACTTCCATAAAACCTTTGAGTACTTTATTATCCAAATACTATCCAAAATAGCACATGGAAAATTTTCTGTACTTTTTATAAATGAGGAAACTTAAGTGACAAAGAAACAAATAACCTGGCCACAGTGTGAGTCATTTGGCATTCCTTGAGAAGGAACTCCCAGATGCATTTCTTTTTATGAGTTCAAAAATCTCTTCCTCCATCCAGAATGAGAGAATGCCCCCCAAGAAATAATTAATAATGTCTGATATAATTATTAATTATAGCAATCTCTATAACTATAATTAATGCTTCTCTTCTGAATATTATTTCATTGTGCATACATAGTACATGTTTTGTAAGTATGATATTTTTAATGTCAATTTAATTGTAAAGAGCCTTAACACTAACATTTCTGGAATTATGTTTCTGTTATAATAAAGTTGGAAAATTTCAAGTTGAAATGCATTTAATTAAATATATAATGGAAATACCTGATAAAAAAATTAAACTTATCTTGACATGTAAGAAAAGTTATCAAAGTCCCCAAGGAGCAACCCCTGAGCACTGAACTGGAGCAGCTTCTGGGCATCAGATGTGATCCCCAACCACAAAACAAACATACAGGAAAAAAAAAGCCAAAGAGAATGAGAAAAAAATTATAAATACTCAGTGTAACTTTTTCAATGTAAATCCCCTTATTTGATTAGAATATTCCTAAACTATTACTGTTAAATCCTCTACCTCCATCCATCCCTTCAACATATATTTAGTGATTTCCATCAATCTATGTCTCTCAAAAAATCTTCAGAGTAATGACAGTTGACCAAAAATATGATTTTGTATTTACTTGGTTAGAACTTTACTTGGTTAAAGCTTATATATGACTATTTGATGATTTCTGTTATCAAAAGTCAATTATTTGGATCAACAGAATAACCTGTTCATATTCTGTTTGAAAACAAAAAAGGTTATCCACAAGTAGTTACAATGGAAGGAGAGGGAAAATGAGTAAGAAATTTTCATTTTATCTTCATCTTAAAGGATGGACAGTACTTTTGATAGAAATATTGAAACATAATTCTAACAAAAGGTATAGTGTGAGTTGAAGCACAAGAGTAAAGGTGTATTTAAGTAAAGAATCATTGAGTTAAGTGGGGAAGAAAGTTTTTAAATACAGAGGAAAATGTAGATTAAAGTCATATTTTAGAAGGCCTAAGTGACATACTATGAAATTTAGACTGTTCTTTAAGTCATGGAGACTTAAAAAGATGTTTTGGGGAGTTTTTCTGCCACCAAAAGGATTAATTTTGACTATAAAAGAATAAAGATAATGTAAAGAAAATATTTATTTTTATAGTATGAAATCCTTGCACAGGGGGCATGCTAATCTTCTCTGTATCATTTCAGTTTTAGTATATGTGCTGCCAAAGCGAGCACAGCGGGTAGGGCATTTGCCTTGCATGCGGCCGACCAGGCTGACCTGGGTTCGATTCCTCAGCCCCTCTCAGAGAGCCCGGCAAGCTACCAAAAGTATCTCTCCCGCATGGCAAAGCCTGGCAAGCTACCCGTGACATATTCGATATGCCAAACACAGTAACAAGTGTCACAATGGAGACATTACTGGGCCCGCTCAAGAAAATTGATGAACAACGGGAGGACAGTGACATTGATGGTATGAAATCATCAGAGTTAGAGCCACTTGAAATTAGCACTTTGAAAAGTCAACAAATGAACCTTTTACATAGTTTACCTTAATTGGTTGATCATAAAATCAATTGGAAATGTGTATTTTACTTTTGGTTTATTTTGTAAATACAGTTTTAAAATGTAACATAAGAGGGAAACAGTCATTCCTGGGATACAGTGCAAAAATAAATTGATCAGTTCTAGAGTTTTCTGGCGAGATCGGAGAGATTGGAGAGCCCGGCAAGCTACCGAGAGTATTCGATATGCCAGACACAGTAACAACAAAGTCTCCAATGGAGACGTTACTGGGCCCGCTCGAGCAAATCGACGATCAACGGGAGGGCCTTTACCTTTACCTTTACCTTAGAGTTTTCTGGCAATCTGCTGTGTCTGAAGCAGACTGGAGATGCACATTGCATCCCTTTGTTTATTAATTATTACTACTCATTCAAAAATATTTACATCTCTATAAATTTCTCCAGATTATTAGTATATAATAACAGTGTTGTAATTCAGTTACGTGATGTTTTTCATTTTTGAAGTGTGACCAGTAACCCTCTAGTGCACAAATCAAACATTTATAGAACACACATCCAGAACTAAAACAAAAACCAGAATCAGATGCCGAGAAAACAGTGGCAAGAAAGACAAAGTCAATTTAGATGAAAATGTAGGACATTATGTTATGTGAAGTAAATCAGAAGGACAAATGCTGAATGATCTCACTTATTTGTGGTATAATGACAAAAAATAAATAAAGGACAGAACAAAAAATTGCAAAGTATCGAAGACTGGGTATTCCTGGATTACCCTAGATTATAGACATGTGAACGACAGGGTCCTGGAGCCGGTAGGGCATTTAAGCATTTGCTTTGCATTGAGCCAATCTGGGTTCCATTCACGGCATCCCAGATAGTCTCTCAAGCACCGCCAGGAGCAGGTCCTATGTGTAGGGCCAGGAGTAACCCCTGTGCATTGCTGGGGGTGAACCCAGAACTAAACCAAATAAAAAAGAAATATGAAAGACAGAAAAGGAAAGAAATTGAGGTGGGGAGAAAGAAGAGGCAGAAGTATAGGCAGGTGCCTCAGGCACATTGGTGACAGAGAGGTATGGAATACGCATATTTATGCATATTTCTAAATCACTGAAGGCACAAAACCCAAGCCACAACCACCAAACTTAAGAGTATGCCTGTTAAATTCAGTTCCTCAAATAATTTTTTTTAGATTCATGGGTATTTTTTTTATGAATTCGCTCAATATTTCAAGGAAAAAAACCATTAGAAAGCTCACTGTGGCTTAGTGTAAGTTTATTTAATAAATATTTTTCTTATGTGGAGATTTTAATTAAAAAAAAAGAGTATGCCTGTTAAAGAGGCAGGCTTGGAGGTGGGAGAAAAGTTGACAGGGGTGGTGGGATTGGTGTTGAAACCCTGTGTGCCTGAAAGTCTGTTATAATCAACTTTATAAATCACTGAGCCTTAACAAAATCACTTTTTAAAGGCAAGGACAGTGTCCATCAAGTCTGCTTTATGTAAGTGAGGATTTCAATTAGTGTATTTCGATTGGTGCAAAGTTATGGTCTATTTCTGTCCTTGGCGGTCTTTGGCCTACCTATAGTGGTTTCCTCTAGGTAGTGGACAAAGAGGATGCCTCTGAGAATGTTTCACTCTGCCCTGCTTCCTTGCATGTGCCTGGAGCACAACCCACAATAGCCTCCTCATTCTGTCAGATTTTTACCCCTGAACATGGTATGGCTTCCTGTTTGTTTCTTCTCATCTTTGCCTTTTTGGCTTTTGGGGACATACCCGCAAGGCTCAGGGGTTACTCCTGGTTCTGTAGTCAGGAATTACTCCTGCTGGTGCTCTGGACCCATATAGGATGTCAGGGATTGAACCCAGGTTGGCTGCATGCTAGGCAAAGGCCCTACCCACGGTACTGTTGCTCCAGCCCCTTCTACTTTTATGTTATTTATCATATGTTATTTTCTCATTATAAATATTTATCTTATTTATAATGAAAATATGCTATCACTAAAATTAGTATATTTATATGCTATTACTAAAATTGGTATATTTATTTATTTATTTTAGTTATCCCGAGAGTATTCGATATGCCAGACACAGTAACAACAAAGTCTCCAATGGAGACGTTACTGGGCCCGCTCGAGCAAATCGACGATCAACGGGAGGGCCTTTATGTACCTTTATGTACCTTTATCCAGCTGTTGGACTGAATGTGTTCAGTCAAAATGTGACATAATCTTCGAGGTTAAGAAGGATAAACAATTTAGATATGATATAGTCTGTTATCATTTTCCATGCTATTCTTTGTTTGAAATTTGACTTAGTTATATAATTTATATAGTTATATAAGTTTTATAGTTATGTAAATCCACACCAGGCTTTTTACACTTTGGGTACCCCAGAGGGGAGCGGGTGAGAGCCCTCCTCACCCCAAGGGACTCAGTTCCAGCAGCCAACGTCCACTACCCAACCGCTACCACCCTCCAGGTTGCTTTCCACATGCTCGAGCCGGGCCTCACATATGAGTGAACATATTCCTGGACTCATCATAAGACAGTCCTTACCCATTTTCCATAATTATCACATCATATTTGATGGGGTTCAGACAGTAGGCAACAAATCATAGAGGGAAATATCTATATGCATCTCAGAGAGCCCGGTAAACTACCGAGAGGATCCCGCCTGCAGGGCAGAGCCTGGCAAGCTACCCATGGCATATTCGAGATGCCAAAATCAGTAACAATAACAGGTCTCATTCCCCTGACCCTGAAAGAGCCTCTAATACGGCAGCGTTGGGAAAGGCGAGTATGGAGAATCTGCTAAAATCTCAGGGCTGGGACCAATGGAGACGTTACTAGTGCCCACTTGGGTAAATCGATGACAGTGATATAGTTACAGTGATCATACCTTAGGTTTGTTGGGTCTCTTCCTATCTCCCAGCAGCAGCTGGTCAGCTCCTGAGTGCTTATACTATTGCGAGAACTTGCTCTAGTTTCCTGCTTTTTTTTGAACTTTCTCAAGAACTTCTGCCAGGCATATAGACAAGACTTATGAATAAGTATGTCAATCCCTAGGTATAAAATTCATATGTCAAATGGATTTACCAATCCTTGCTTATTCTTTGCAAATTCATTAGAAATTTTGCTAATTTCTCCTTATCTTTAAGATAGAGAACTCTTCTTTCTCCTATGCTTTGTCAAAGATGAAACTCACCTTTATCTTACCTTGCAAGCAACCAATGCGAATTCAATCCCCAGCACTATAGATGGTTCCTTAAATCCCTCCAGGAGTAATCCCAGAGAATGGAGTAAGTTTGAGTATAGCCCCCCAAATCAAGATAAAAAAACATTGTATCTCATAGAGGAGCTTGGCACTTTGAATTTCAGATTAAGTAGTTATCTTGCATTACAGTTTTCTTTTTACAAGCTGAAAAATTGGGCTGGAGTGATAGCACAGCGGTAGGGCGTTTGTCTTACACGCAGCCAACATGGCCGACCCGAGTTCGATTCCTCCGCCCCTCTCGGAGAGCCCGGCAAGCTACTGAGAGTATTCGATATGCCAGACACAGTAACAACAAAGTTTCCAATGGAGACGTTACTGGGCCCGCTCGAGCAAATCGATGATCAACGGGAGGGCCTTTACTTTTTTTACTATTACTTATGAAAAATTGTGATTTTCACATTTTCATTTGATAGGGCTGGAATGATAGCACAGGTAGGGCATTTGCCTTGCATGCAGCTGACCCTGGTTTGATTCCTCCATCCCTCTCAAAGAGCCCGGCAAACTACTGAGAGTATCCAATGCCTCTTTTGCAGACCACAACACCCAAAAGGAGAGAGAGAACACAGGGGATTGCCCTGCCACAGAGACATGGGGGATGGGGGGATGGGGGTGGGAGGGATATTATCCATGGTCGTGGAAAATGGGCACTGGTGGAGGGATGGGTATCTGATCATTGTATAATTGAAACCAAAGCACAAAAAATTGTAAATCTACAACTTTAAAAAAAAATAAAATAAAATAAAGGGAAAAAAATACACACACAAAAAAAAAACTACTGAGAGTATCCCTCCCACAAGGCAGAGCCTGGCAGGGTCCCAGTGGTGTATTTAATATGCCAAAAACAGTAACAACAAGTCTCACAATGTAGACATTAATGGTGCAGGCTCCAGCAAATTGATGAACAAAGGGAGGACAGTGCTACAGTGCATTTGATAGAGAGAAATAGGGTGGGGTTTTCTAGGGCTTTCTACTTTCTGTTGCAAAATAGACTTCTTCTCACCTCTAAACAAATGCAAATGTTACCTTGTTTTGTATTTCAAATAATTTAAAGCAGTTTGGAGCTTAGCTTAAGGTATTATAGAACAGAGCCAGTAGGGCGTTTGCCTTACAAGTGGCCAACAAGGTTGACCCGAGTTCAATTTCTCCGCCCCTCTCGGAGAGCCGGGAAAGCTACCGAGAGTATTCGATATGCCAAACACAGTAACAACAAAGTCTCCAATGGAGACGTTACTGGGCCCGCTCGAGCAAATCGACGATCAACGGGAGGGCCTTTACCTTTTACCTTTACCTATTATCCAATAATATCTCAGTTGTGAAATAAGTTAATATATTAATTTATCAGTAGGATATGTCTATCTATTATTTCCTTATGGAGATTTTATTTTGAGTATTTTTTATGATGACCCTAATAATTCTTTTTCTAAAAAAGCATTAGACTTATTT